CGCGGAAGGGATGTAAAGCCGAGGTTCCGGAAACTCACACAGCCGCCACCGTCGCCCGCGCCGCACTTATGGTAATATCGAATCGGAAGTTACTTTTACGACGTCGAGCCCTCTTTTCTTGGCATGTTGTCAAGCGAAGCGAGGTACAACGAGGCACCGAAACCGTGCCTGATATCCGCACCAGTTGGAACGAGAGAGATCCACGTGTGTATCTATTTTATGGTCCTTTGCGATGCGCGCGCTGCCAAATTTCTTTCTCCTTCGTGCCGAGGCGGCGGACAAAGTCGGTTAAAGTCGGGAAAGCGCGAGTTGCGCGGCTGAAGTTGGGTAACACATAGGAACACATTGGGATGGTGAGTCTTATTTACTTGGAAAGCGCCGCAAATCGCTGGAAAACGCGCGAAAAATTGCTCATCGCGCCCTAGAGAGCTTCTCACGCGCTTCTGTTTTGTAAATACTTTAAACAGATTTTGAACTTTATAGAGAGATCGTTCCCCTATCATCTCACCGAATTACTTTAATTTTTCCAAAGATATTTATTTTTTCAAAGATGACACATACGTATGCAAAGTGTCTCATGAGAAGTTGTTGAGACTAATCAGCTGTCATTTTCGAATGTATTCAGATATTGTAAAAAAAAAAATTGCATTGAAAAGAGGAAAGTCTGCAGTTTTTAATGGATATAAATAAAATGTTAAAAAGATATTAGTGTATCAGTTTATTTCGTTAATGGAAAATGATAAAAAATATAATCAAATAAATTAATGAGAAACATTTTCAAAGTTCGCGCCATCTAAATTTGTACAAAACTCAATTCTTTTACGAAAACTCGTAAGAACTTTTCTCAACATGTCGTCTTTAATATTACAGACAATCTTCTTACTGTTACTAAATCTAGCACCGTTTTTTAATTTCCGGCATAATAATTATAACAATTGTCTTTAATGTACCCTTAAAGAAAGAATGGATTTAAATCCGATAAATACGGTGGCCATGTTAGTTCTCCCTGAGCAAATTTGGAATATCTCAAACCGACGACTCGGGTGCCATAAACTTTATACATTGTTTCGTCGTAACGCGTTCCGACGAAAGCAATTGATGAAATATTATTTTATACGGATATATCTTCAGGAAACGTTTTAATATCCTGTGTAACGTTGTTTTTGATATTTGAAGGGATTGGCCAGCTTTCCGAATAGAGGCATTTGGATTTTGCTCAAAGTACTCCTTAATTTCTTCAATATTTTCTTCTACAGATACAGACACAGAAGGACCTAACAGATCGTATCTACGATCTTGGGTAGTTCCATACTGCATAAAATTATCAATAATTCTGTTAAAAACAACACAAAGAATTATTTTAATGCAGATTTATTCTCAAAAAATGAAATGACATAACGCCTAAGTTTAAACAATTAATGAATTCTAACCTCTTCAGTGTGTTTTCGCTTGTAATTTTATATGTTCCATATCTAATACAAAACCTAACCTCTACAAGCACTATTATATAATTTTCTCTAGAAAAGAAGCACTCGATAAGACAGACCTGCTTCTATCACAATCAGAATAAAACTGCGGACCCTCAAGCGGCGGCCATTAACCTGAAGACTCGTTCTAAAATCATGGAGGGAAGAACCAGTCGTTTAGTTTTAGCAACTTCCCGTTGGACACCCTGTACAACCGTGTACAGAAAAGTAGTCCGTTAGATTTTATGTGAGTCGGAACATATTCGCCTTGTGTCCAACAGAAGAATTTGCTTTCCAAGCATGAAAACCCTCCAGTGCGTTCCAAAACTCACGTGAAGTATGGCGAACAACCTTTCTGCTCGCGATCTTGCGGACGTCCAATTCTCCCTTTTTAATTCAAACATTACCGATAAAAATATAACGTATAGCATCATGAATAAACATTCGGTATAAAATTTCACAAGAAGAAAGAAATTTCGGCGCATGAGCGACGAATGTCATATTTATGTCATATTAAAATCAAATTATTTTCTTCTAATTTTAATAAGTTCATCCCTAAAGAAATTGACACAGACATAATGATTGCTACATAGTGATATTAAAAACCTTCGTTCCTGACGCTATTTCGAAATTAGCAACTCATTTTAATGTGTTGATTGTTATTCAGCAAAACTCAATAAAAATGTATTCTTCTAGAGAAAACCTATGCAGATTAGTTCGTTAGCATATAGAATAAAGGATCTTATCCGTATGTCAGTTGCATGATAACTAGTATTAGTCAATCAATATGTTAATTAACGAACAACTGTTGATCAGAATTTATCTAAAAAGTAAATTTCGAAATTTGATCGATCCTTATCTCGTATATTCTGGTATCTCTTGGCGTTTAATTTTGTCAATGGACAGATTCCTCGAGATACTGTTTTATACTTTTCTAGAAATATTTAAATAATTAATATTTTGATAAAGCGGAATCTCGAACTCGAACTGTAATAAAACGTCCATACAAACAAGTCTCTGAGGAATCTTTTGTTAAAGTTTCGAATACATTTCTTCCTTGGACGTGCATATTTTTCCCATTATAATACTTTTAATTAGTAGCTTGAAAACCGCGGCGATATCCGCCTTTACTAAAAAGAAACCAACCAAGAGAACGCATCACTGGAAATCTACTAAACACTAATGTGAATGTCCCAATTAGTAGTGACTCAATTAGATATCATCCCCATTTGTGACAACTGCGCATCCGTCTTCTTCAATAAATCAGCTAATAAGGGTGTATTTATCCTAAATCATATACAGGGTATCTAAAAAGTTCTGGACCTGTAAAATATTTCAAAAACAAGACAATATTTCGAAAAAAAAAGTTTCATACAAATTGTATGGTTTCAAGGGGGATATAAAACAAAACTATATCAGTTTGTTTACAGATGGCGCCACTTTCGAAATATTCATTGATCATTATTTTTCTTAAATAAAAACCCCAATTTTTTATTACATCATCTTTTTCTACCAATTAATTTGAATAACTTTTGTCTGAAACATTTTTTTATTTGACTCATATTTTTTAAATATTTAAGGAAAACTTGGTAACTTTTTCAATATCTAACTTATATCTCGTTAACTGTTTGTCGGAAGAAAAAGTGGTACTAGACCTTTTTACTCTACTTGGTCTCAAGAATATATTGTTACAATAGCGCCTTGACTTTTGTTAATTTGATGATTTTGAAATTTCCAAAAACCAATAAGTTTCCATTTAAGAAAAATAATGATCAGTGAGTATCTCGAAAATGTCGCCACGTGTAAACAAAATGATATAGTTGTTTTATGTTCCCCTTGAAACCGTATAACTTTTGTGAAACATTTTTCTCTAACACATTTAGTTTTCGAGATATTTGACCGGTTCGGGGCTTTTTGGACACCCTGTATATTATCGATTATAACAAGTTTCGAATAAATTGTAAACCATAGTGAATGTGCTAAAACATCATAACAATTACAAGCATAACGGCGGCAGACTGAGCAATTACTCACTAATATCTTAGAGAGAAGTTGATAGTTAACATTGAATGTTTATTTGCTAGATTCAAGTAGCTATTTTTCAACCTTCTCAAAAGTGCTCAATAAAAAGACAAGACTAAACCGCTATATCGCCAGATAGTACTTTAGCTTATCATTTCTGAGAAAATATTATAAATAAATCAAAATCTTTCCGTAAATTGGAGAGAGATATAACACAACTGAAATCCCAAATATTTTCCAGCTTTTCAACAGAATCAACTTTATATACTTAGACTAGCATGTATCTTATTAATTTATTTCCACGGTGAGATAACTCGATCACTAATTGAGACATTCGCTTTAAGAGAAATTGGAAACTGCACGCGTGTGTAACGTCGCGTGCGCTGGATTTGGCAGTCGGACAATCGCGGATCGCGACTACGTATGTTACGACTTAATTCGCTCCCCCTCATGTGAGTAACTCGGCATCGAGCGACCGAATATCGGACACCAATAATCGAAGCACAGAGACTGAGCGGAACGAAACCGGCACCGTGTCGGCGAACGAGGACTTTCCGATTCGAGGACTCCGCTTCGCGCCGGACGCCACGGAAGTCGTGCTTCGCCGCGCGTTCTGCTTTATAAACGACGTCGTTTATTATTTTAATGATGTCATTAGTGAAATTTAAGTAAAGTTGTCAACCTGCCTCCTCTTCATCCGACCCGGGCCGACATAAGTTTCGCTTGTCGCGACGCCGCCGACACAATGCCGGCGTTATTTCACCCGGCCAAGACCGGCGAGAAACGCGAGTTCGCGGCAGTGATTTTTCAATTCTCCGGAAAATGACAGCTCTCCTCCTGTCGTATTCTACAAGCCGATTGTAGTGGACACGACGGCAAGGAGAAACGTCACGAGAAACATATTATATTTATATTGACGCGGTGAAATCTCTCTTTCTCTCTCTCTCTCTCTCTCTCTCTCTCTCTCTCTCTCTCTCTCTCTCTCTCCCTCCCTCTCTCTCTCTTCCCCACCGCTCTCCCGTATGCTCATCTCTTCCTTACTAACAATCGATTTCGCCCATTTCGATGAGAAACACGATAAAAGTGATTTAAGAGCGTAAAACAAAATCGGCGATAATAAACGGCCGCAGATTACGCAACGTCTCGGAGATAACGGTAATTACACGGTCGGCTGGATTTAAACGCCTTGTAGGTAAATTAGCCATGATACTAAAATTTCACTCGCTAAAATTTCTGGCGAGCGAATATACGCTATCTCTAAATTACAATATGCATAGACTTATAAATTATGTTATAAATTATGTCTCTGATTTTGAAATATAGGCGATCAATTGAGCCCTTTTGAAAGAGGATCAATTTTGCTTGAAATAACAATAAGATATATATAAAGCACATCGTCAGGAAAATTTTATATGTATTGTATGTATATATACAATCATATATATTTAATTTTTCTGGAAAATATTAATATTCATACACTGAGATAGTATCATATTAGTATGCCCGGCTAAAATGTACTCATATTATCCAAAATATTTGAGGATAGTATGAGAAAATGTTGCAAGGATAATTTAAATTTTCATACTGCTAAATTAAACGGATATCCAATTAAAACTATTAATTGTTGTAAAATGCATAAATTTAAACTTCGGTGTGTATATATTTCAGTTACGCGATACAGTGTCGTGTGTTATTCTATTAAAATGTTTTCTGCGCATGTATGAACTTTGCTTCTATGTGTGGTCATATACAGGGTGTCTCAAGTTTTTCCGTACAAACTTTAGTAGAATGTTCTATGAGCAGAAAGAAGAAAAAATGTTATATAAACATAGGTCTCAAAATGCTTTATTAGAAAGTTATAGCAAAAATAAAATACAAAATGTAAGAAACAATCACTTAAGTTCACATTTCAAAGTGCCGTCCGCCCATGTCAATATAAGCTATACATCGATGTACTACTGAATTTATCACCCTAAGACTTTCTTGCGGATTTTGTTTTATCTCTGCAGCTGTGTCGATAATTCTTTGTGTTAGTTCATTTCTTGATATGACTTGTGTTCGATAAACTTTTTCTTTCATTGTCCCCCACAAGTAGAAGTCTAATGGCGTTCTGGAGATCTGGTGATCTTGGAGGCCAAGATATCGGACTTCCTCGACCAATCCATCTTTCGGGATAATGTTCGTTTAACTACTGTTGTACTTGTCTACCACAATGTGCTGGGCATCCATCTAACTGTATCCACATGTGTTGGCGAGATAGTAAAGGTACATCTTCGAGAACAATTGCTAAATCGTTGTTAAGAAAGTTTAAAAAAGAATGTGCACTTAAACGTTCTGGCAAGAAATGTGGACCAATTAGCATGTCGTCGTACATGCCCATTCATACATTACAGCTGAATTGATGTTGAAAAGCTGTTTCTCGAACAGCGTACGGATTTTCATGTGACCATACATGGTTGTTATGAAAATTGAAAACATTACCTCTCGTAAATGTAGCCTCGTCAGTCTATAGTATCCTCGATGGGAGAAAATCATCTTCTTGTACTTGTTGCACGTACCATTCACAAAATTGTGTTCGCTTTTCGTGATCGGTTGGCAAAAATTCTTGTACCGGTGTGAAATGATACGGGTACCTGTTATCAGTTCGCAATGTTCTCCAAACCATACTTCGGGAGCTAGCTGGAGCTGATATGGCGCTCGCCGAACATTTGTAGTAGGATCATTATTAAACACATTAAGAATTCTTTGAGAACGACGATAATTACGTATAACTCCACATTCTGCCAATGGACGAAATAAACCCGTCGAACGTAATTGCAAATGAACATTGGTAAAGACTGTGTGATACGGCACTCTTCTATTAAGGAATCTTCGTTCATATTCTCTAGTAGAAGCCCTTGCATTTCCTGCACACAAACCGTACACATAATGAATATCCGTGTATTCTTCGTTTGTGAAAACTCGCAGCATTTTGAGACAATGTTCACTGTTTGTTATTACTAGCGAATAATCTGAAATACTCGCAACTCGACAGTTCGCGAGAGACTACCGTGTCTCTTGATTTAATTGATTTTATAGTTTTCATGATCACCTTCAACCATTTCTAACAGTAAACACGACAAGAAGAAGCGGATAAGATAAACATCATCTAACGGCGTACCACTTACTTATGTACACTCACTTCTTCAACGTGAAATTTTAAGTTTTGCTATAACTTTCTAATAAAGCATTTTGAGACCTATGTTTATATAACATTTTTTTCTTATTTCTGCTAGAACATTCTACTAAAGTTTGTACGGAAAAACTTGAGACACCCTGTATATAGGATATATAAAAAGTACAGGGACGGTGAAATATCTCGAAAACTAAGCAGTTCAGAAAAAAGTGTTTCAGACCAAAGTTGTCGAAATTAATTGGTAGAAAAAAATGATATAATAAAAAATTGAGGTTTCTGTTTAAAAAAAGTAATAATCAATGAATATCTCGAAAATGGTGCCATCTATAAACAAAATGATGTAGTTGTTTTATGTCCTCCTTGAAACCATACAACTTTTGTTTGAAACATTTTTTTCTAAAATGCTTAGTTTCCGAGATATTTTGCAGTGCCGTTACTTTTTATGTTATACTCTGTATAATCATATTTGTTCAGATATGTCTACACGTAAAAAATGCTGTAGAATAAAGAAAAAAATGTAATGTGATTAAACATCGATGATAGGAGCTGCCACAAAACATAAACATTGACTTCAGTTATATTTGTAATGTACAACAGCATTATTTTCTGCGTGAACATGTATAATTGTGTTATTATATTATATATAATTATGTTATTATATATCGCTATCTAGATACAAAGTTCGTATATAATTATTTTTTCCCGGGATATATATATAATGAGGAATTCATAAATCAAACAGAAAATTTGAAATCAATAGAAAAGTCAATATTTTTTTACTCATTTTCAATACAATCCCCTTTCGGGATTACGTAAGCACACAGATGTATTATTAATATAACATAAACTAATAAATCTATAATACTAATTATATATAATATATAATATAATACTAATTATATATAATAATACTAATTATATATAATATAGAACAATAACTCTGATCTAATAAATAATCTAACAAATAAACTCAAGTAGATATAAACTGATAAAAAAATTAATAATAAATTAAATTATAATTATGTTAAGAAATATTTAAACGAGACTTACGTAAAAAAAAGATATATATATATATATATATAATAAAAATAACACGATGAAAAATGACACAGTCAAAATATAAAAATTCTCGAAAATCATCACACGAACGTCGAGAGAACCTGAACTTGACTCGAGAGCGCAGACGATATGGCATTGCTTAGTTTAGGATGAAAATCACCAAAGTAGTCGAGAAGAGTAGACTATCTTTTCCCATTCTGCGTCTTCGAAGTATTCAACAAAAGATCGTAACGCCGGCGAGGACGACAGCGACAACGACGCAAAGGGCAACGCGCGTCAACGGCGCCCGGCGTCGTTTCTTTCGCGTCGCGTCTCCCGATTGTCTCTCTCACATCCGTTGAACTTACTCAACGCGAGACTCGCTTTCAAAAGGCGATCCCGTCCCAGCCAGACGTCAGCGGAAAGCGATGGGGGCGTATGCAGAAGGCCGTGATATTTCACGGCGATTCGTCCGCGCGTCGCCATATTTTTTTCACACGCAATTCTAAGCGTGCCGTCTGCGGGACGGACAAAAATGGAAAAATCTCAAAATTGCCCGCGGTAAATAAACAATAACGAAACAATCTATTGCACGCGAGTCTTCCTTACGTATATGTACGCACGATCGTGTCAAGCTTCCGAGATCGCGACGAGGAGAGGGTAAAATTGGATTTTATCAGGCAACACGTCGGAGATAGCGGTCATATTCGGACGTACGTACGCGATACATTTATTAGGAGTATCGCGTCGAAAGCTCGCGATTATCCGATGCAATAAAAGTCCATCAGGTTGTGAGAGCCAGCGAGAGGGAATATCGCGTTAACGAAGTGCTTGAAATATCGTCTATCGTAGGCGACTTCTCTATTTGCGAACGTACCTTTTTTTAAAACTCTTATGAGTCGTCGTTGGCGCTTTTTATCTTTGTACCGCGGCGCTCAACGTATCAGACGCATCCGAGTACACCTACATACATACACGTCATGTATTAATCCTAAACTTTACAAAACAGAGAGAGCAGGTTCCACAATTATACCCATGAATGACCCATTTTAAACGATCCAGGCAAAAATCTCGAAAAATATAAAAGATACTAACAAGGAACATCCGCGACGTGTGTCTCTCCGATTTCGACGAAACTTGGCATATTTATAGAGCAGCCAAAAATAAGAGACTTATATTTTTTTTATCGGTAATGGCTCAGGTTTAAGGAGTGAGACTACCGCTCAAAGTTTCACCCTCTTTATGATATCTCGATAATTATTGCAGATAGGAAAGAACTATTTGGACAAAAAGTGTACAGTTTTTTATGAAAAATAAAATAGGCTTGATTAGGATAAAAAATATTTGCAACAATTAACAAAATAACCATGTCAGGCTTAATTAGTAATTTACCAAATTCATTATATGGAAGAAAAAGTTAGCATTTTTCTAATCCATCTATATATTTTTCTATATATATCTATATATATATATATATTTTTATAATCCATCTATATATATATTGTTTCATATTTAAATTATATGGACGGTTACGATTTATAAGTAAAATGGATACGAGTACCATAAGGTGCATGGTAATGTACGTGAGTGCTTAATCGCTACGCAAATAATGAGTATCTTACATGTTTTGAACGTAGGTGTAAAAATAATTCAGAATATAACACATAAACTTAATTAATATATAATACATAAACATAAACATAAATTTTTGTTAACAGTGAGATCTATGAGATTCTGAGGTATCAGAAAGAATTGACGTGAAAGAAGAAAGAATTTATGATAATGCGCTGAAAAATCTGTGTTTAATCGAAAACGATTTCGATTTATTGATTAGTGGAATTATTTGTGGCACGAGCGGCATCAGTTATTATGCAAAAAAAATTGTTTTCTGTGATGGTGATGTTTAATATTTTTAATCTTTTAGTTTAATTACATAATATTATTTTCTTATTAAGACTTATTTTAAAATATTTATGCGATAACACTGTACATATGTGACAGTATAAATACTTTGAAACGAGACGCTTTTTGTTAAACATTAGTATACAACAAGATACACTGGTGAATATTTATGAAGAAGAATTAAAAAATAACTTATTGAATATTATACAATAATATACTTATTGCGGAGTAAAAGACATACCTGGACATTGATAAATACTGCAAATTGTAATGTCTCTATGTACGTATATATATAATATGTCGGTATAAACTCGCATGCATGCCTTTCTCGTTTGTTGTATTAAACACACTTGAAAACAATCTGATGTGGAATATATGTCACAAATAAAAAAATGTTTGGCGGCCCGCGTTTATGTGTTAATAGTTCTGAGTTATTTTTATATATGTAATATTTTATATTGTTGCATTAATAAAAATATATTTAAAAAATGTTCAAGTAGATGTTCGCTATTTGCATTGTAGCAATATAGCGGTTAAGCACTCGCGCAAGTTACTGCTCATACTGCACAGTTGAAAAAGTTGAAAAACGTTGCTGCAATGTTGCTATTGCTGAAACTTCTGTGCTGTATAGGTGAGCACTTTGCTCACCTATACATGGTACCACTTCTACTTATAAATTGTAATATCCGTATAATTTAAATATAAAAAATATATATAACTTATCGACCTTTGGAAATTTCAGAATCATCAAATTAACAAAAGTCAGGGCGCTATTGTAACAGTATATTCTTGAAACCAAATAGAATAAAAAAGTTTAGTACCACTTTTTCTTTCGACAAATAGTTAGCGAGATATCGTAAATAAAATATTGAAAAAGTTATCAAGTTTTCCTTAAATATCTCACAAATATTAGGCAAATAAAAAAATGTTTGAGATAAAAGTTGTCCAAATTAATGAATATTTCGAAAGTAGTGCCATTTGTAAACAAATTGATATAATTGTTTTATGTCCCTTTTGAAACCACGCAACTTTTGTCTGAAACGTTTCTTGGTATCTATCCTTCATATTTTTCGAGATTTTTGTCTGGCTCATTTAAAATGGGACACCTTATATTATAACAAATACTTCGAACAAACTGCCATATTCTAAATAAAAGTATAAAGAAAAATTTGGAAACGGTATTACTTCTCGATCGTAACTTCATGTATTGTTCACGATAGATTGATTATAATGTATCTTTCCTTTACGTGCATTGGAGAGGTTCCAAATGTTGGAATCACCAAGACGTTCGTTTTTCTGATATTTGATATTTGTAAACTTTACCGCGCACGAACAATGACGTTTGGCTCCTGCCTGTGTTTTATTTGTTACTTTTAAAATTATTTCATAATATACAAAAATAAAATTATACAAGGTAATAAAGCAAGGAAGCTACATATAAATACTATTCGATGCTGTTTATCATCTCCCTTTATTACGTTGTCCAGACGGAAAAGGGTGCATAAATTTTGCAACAAATTTACTCAATTTGTAAAGGTTGCATCCCTTATGATTTCATACGTCAGTCGTGTTTGTCACGTAGAACGACGAAATAGAAATACAAAAAAGTGCAAAACGAAAACGATGAAAATTTACTGAAAACAATATGTCATGCAAAATGCAATATGTAAATCGCGCAACTTTTAGTAAATTCATTGCTGCGTCAATAAAACCAAAGGATTTACACATCTGCACATGTATTGTATGTAATTTATTATGATACGTACGATGTAAATTTAACAATTAATTCAGCACAGTATATTTGCTTCCGAGATGCAATTTAAAAACTCGTAAAATTCCCATCATCGTCGGACAATCGTCTCACTTTCTAACAATTAAGCCGCAGCATAACCGACGTCGCATCTCCTACGACAGATCCCACGATCGAAATTCCGCATCGATTCCTCCCCCCACCCTCTCCCACCTCCCATCGCCCTTCGATCAAACGCGAGACAGGATCGACGTCGCGTTTCCGAACTCGCTCCACTCGGCGTGTAACGGGCGCGAG